GAGTGGCCACTCTTTCCTTAAAGTCAGGTAACTGAATATCAGATACAACAAAGTCCCTAACAACTTCACCACAGCCCTTGCAACTCCTTAGCTTCTCAACAAGTTCAAGAAAATGTTTTCTTTCAGCCACAAGGCGTTCACGTTCCTTCTTAACCTTCCGACTGAGATTCATAAGCATTTCAGAATCTTCATGCATCTCACGTTGGCCTGACTTCAGTTGCTGTTTGTTTGACTCAAGTTCCTTCCTTTCAGTTTCTAACCTAATCTCCTCAGCCTTCACTTCTCCCCATTCCTTCTCAGTTGCATCCTTCAAGATATTAATATTATCAAGCTCTCTTCGCATCTCCTCCTGAAAATCTCTCTCCCTTTCCTGAAAGTCTTTATCCATTTCTTCATGTCTTTTCTGAATTTCATTCTCAAGACTCCTCGTCTTCGATTCAAAATCTTGTAGCATTTGTGACCTTTCATTTTTTGCCATTTCGGACAAAAGAAGTTTCTCTTGATTCATTGAATCTCGAAATGATTCCTTCTCCAATTCAAGCTTCTCCAGCTCTTTCTTTATATGATCTTGGATATGTTGTTTCTCTCTTTTCAATCTTTCTTCTCCACTGTTCTGAAGTTTTCTTAAGCTTTCTTTCTCCACATCTAAATCATGCTGTTTTCTAGTAATTTCCACTCTTTTCTCATCGAGCACTTCCCACTCTTTCTCAAACCTCTGTCTCTCCTCCCTTAAGTTTTCAGCTTCCTTCAAAAGAAAGTCCTTCTGCGATCTGGTATGCTCTATCTCCTGTTTTAGTTCCAATTGCAAACGAGAATGTTCTGACCTCTCTTCTTCAGTAATCTTCAAATTCTCACTCTCTTGGCATATTTGCATCTCCTGCTGAGAAATCTCAGCTTTTACCTTCTCAAGTTCAGCATTTAAATTCTCCAGGCTCTCCCGATCAGCAAGTAGTTGTTGTTTTTCCTTCTCCAACTCTTTCTCTTTGATTTTCATAGTCTTTTCTTCCTCCTTTAAAGATTTCAACTTTGCTTCAATCTCCTTATTTTGATCCTTTATTCTCTCAGCCTTCTTATTCAAGGCCTGCTCTTCTTTTCTAACCTTGGTTTCTCTATGGTTAACTTCAACTTCCCTCTGCTCCATGGCTTCCTCCTTGCTCCTAAACTCCTCAACAAGAGATTTCTGCTTTTGTTCCAGTTCAAGTTCAAATTGCTGCAACTTTAAATCCAGAGTAGACTTTTGTTCACCAAGGAGCTTCTGAATCCCCTCCTGTAGGAACCACAGCTACAAGTCAGAATGCAATAAAATCATGCAAGTTACTCATGTCATACATGTACACTTCTGCTCACAAACCATGTTAATTTATTTGTCACAAGACTGTATTTATATAGTGAATTCCCATTTTCAATTTCTTTCCCACTTGGCAAAAATTGTGTAAAGTTGTCATTTAATTTTACATCACAATTCCACTCTTGCATCTATCTAAGCAAGGCCAAAAGTAGGTACATCATGTTAAGCATCTTTGAAATCTAAATATTTCAACACGAATGTGTTTCTCCATATCCCTTTGGACTTCATTTCTAGGTAACATGGATTAAGCCAATTATAAATTGATATATCATGCAGTTTCTTCATTAAAACAACTTCACACAGCATTTTAATGTATTTTAAAGTCACCAGGTCCCCGTACTCACTCTTTCTCTAGCACTAAGCTTTAGTTCCAGAGCAAGTAATTCTTTCTCTTTTGACTCCAGCATGCTCTTTAAAGAATCCACTTTCTGCAACCATAATCACAACACACAAATAATGGAAAGGGTCAGCAAGTAGATGTTTGCAAGCAAAAAAAGAACAAAAAAATAAACAAGACACAATAATAAAGCACAAAACAGACCTTCTCTTCTACATCTAAATCTGCTACTCTTCCAATTATCTCAGCTTCCTTTTCTTTCAATAAAGAATTAGATGAATCAATTTTCTTCTCCAACACTTCCAGGTCTCTCTCTTTCTGCTTCAGGTACTTCTCAGTTTCAACTATCTTTTCTTCTTTCTCACTAAGATTATGCCTACCACCAGATAGCATATCTTCTCTTTGCTGTAGCCTCCTTTCCCACTCTTTCAAATCTTCCCTTTGTTTGTAGAATGTTGCCTCAAATGATTCTCGACTGTAATGGGAATACAATACCAATGAATTGAGCCACAATGCATAAAAGATGAAATAATATGATGACTAGAGACATCCAAAAAAGGTCAGGCATAGAGCATACTCAGTAGCTAAAGACAATCGCTCCTGTTGAAGCAAGCTTTCACGAACCTCCACCTCTCGTAATTTCATATCCAGCTCTGCATTTTTTCTATTTATCTCAGCAAGCTTAGATTCTGCATCAAGCAGTTTCTTGTCAACCACAGAAGACTTCTCTTCAATTCCATTAACCAATGCATTAGCTTCAGCTAGCTTTGTATGGGAGGAAGACTGGACATGGGCATGCTCTTCTTGCATTGCACGCAGAGCTCTCTCAAGCTGCAATTGATCGATTTCCACAACATCAGCATAAAATCCAGGAACATCTAAACTGACATCTCAAGCAAAAACCTTAGCAACATGAGAACACTTCAAAATTGCCCCAGAAATCTTGACATAAAATTCAAATAGAAATAAATTGGTAAAGTATTGAACAAAATGAAAAACTAAGCATAGAAAATGTGTATCAAGGTGACATTTAAGGACTACTTGGTTTAAGAAAATGATTTATATTTTCACTAATAATTACAAAAATATCACCTTTCTGCTTTCTGCTGTTTTCACCACTTCCTATACAAATCTGTGAAAACTGGAAACCTAATGAAAATAAGGTGACATTTTTTGTAATAATTAGTAAAGGCTTAAGGCAGGGAAAAAAAGCAGATAAAACTATGATTTTCAACACATCATAATATTTATCCTATATCAATATGCATAATAGAGTTCATGGAAATGGGGAAAGTGGGGAAGAGAGGGAAAAAGTTTAAGCCCAACCCCAATCAATAATCAGCTCTTTCAACACTAACCAAAGTAAAAGGAGTTAAATCATCAACAGAAGGAGCAATGAATGCAAGTACAAACAAATTTAAAACAATCATAAACTTGAAGATAGAAACAAAGACATACATCAGCCGCACACTGCTTCTCTGTGCTCAATGCTTTCCTCAAATTTTCCTCTCGCTTCTCAACTTCAAATAATGCAATTAAATGTGCTGACTGTTCTCGTTTTAAAATCTCCTTACTTTCAGCTAGTTCTTGCCTCAGCTGATCAAACTTTGAATTCCATTCTTTCTTCTCAATCAACAGGAGGCCCATGTTGTACTGGTAGTCAAAAAGCTAATAAAAAAAATAAAGGAACCAAAATGTTCATCAATGATCAATCAACATAGATAAAAAAATGATTTCCATGAGAACATGTTTTTGCAATAACATTCGAGGAACACAATAATGGGTAATTCTGCAACAATAAAATTATTTCATAAACTATAATGCAAAGCCTAACAAAGAATTTTCATGGTTAGGCAATTTGATATGTTTTTGTACCTTTTTTTTTTATATTCAGTCTACAGTAACTGCTAGTTTAGATTTCATTGTGATAACATAACAACATTCTCGGTTGCAACACATATCAAGTGGCTTTTAATAAGTTTCAAACTTAGAATCGCCAAGTTTAAGGGAAACTAAGTGAAATCAGGTGACATAATCTGAGTCAACATAAACCTGCCATACAATGACATGAATTACATATTCTTACTGCGGATGAACTATGTTTCTCAACTTTAAATTTATCATTTTCACCTAGATGTGATTTTACTAATAATTACAAGAACTTGCAAAGGAAATGGTGAAGATTCAGTTGTTTTCACTATTTCCTAAGCAAAATCATTAGAACAGTAAACAAAGAGAAGAATAAGGTGGAAAATTTTAATTATTAGTAGAGACATTTCGACTGAAAATATTTTCACTAAATTAAAAAAGAATTTTCAGTATTTCCTTTCTCAAAATCACTTTAAAAATTAACACTGAAACAACATAGAAACAAAAAAATGAAAAAGAAACCACCTACATATATGTTTTCACTTTCACTTTCTAAGCAACCCAGCCAAAATATTGATGTAACATTAAGTTTTGGATCAGAATTGCACACAAAAACACAGAAACATTGTATGTATCTTCTATCATAACCTAACATCTAGATGACAGCAAATTGGTGGGCCTAGTAAGTATATAGAAAACAAATATAAACTTTCAAAAAATGAAAGGAATACCAAGGATAACCAAGAAAATCTATTATATTTTATAAATCTAATAATTTATATGCATATCTATATACATATCCTGCACACACACACCTCTACATATATATATATATATACATATATAATAATCACATCACCATATCAAATGTGTATGTGTGTGTGAAAGCATGCATTGAATATGATTCAAATCTGATACAAAGATGCGATGCAATCATTATTATTATTATATTAATATATCAATGTCTGTGTATCATACTAAGCTACTGATGAAAATTTTAAATGATGCATTAAGGAAACTTTTAAAAGGTTCTTTTCTACCTCTTTTGCTCCATCCAAATTCAAAACTGTATCGACCATCTATATGCAACAGCAAAAAATGCTTTGCCTTCATTACTCTATCAACTACAATGCTCTTTCTATGATTTTTAATTGCAATTTGCTCTGCAGCCGCAATTATCACCAACTGTATCAATTTAATTCTCTACAACCCACATTTGCTAGTAATCACTGCAAAGAGGGGTTATTTTTTGGGGGAGGGGATGTAGATACCAGTAGAATCAACCAAAAGAGTCCATTTCTCTAAACACAAGCGCAATATCAATATCAATATTCAAAATATTAGTAACTATCTGCAACTATAGATTCTTATTGATCAATCATAAATACCAACTATAGATTCTTATTGATCAATCATAAATACCAAACACCAATTGTCACCATCCGACTAACTCACAATATAATTAATATAAAACAAAGAAAAATAATAAATAATTTAATCAACAAAACTTATCTTAAAAAGCAGAAGAAAAATCACAACAAAGCACAAAAGCATGAAATCAAACCCTAGAAAAGCACTTCAAATTGCAAAATCTTCATTAAAACTAACCTCTTTCTCGAGCCTCGACACCTTCTCCGAGAGCGCCTCCCTGTCCTTCCTCTGCATCACGGCCTCATCCAGCAACCCTAACTCCGAGAACCGCTTCCAGTCCTCAGCGTTCCCGGCGTCCAACTCCACCGCCACGGTGGTTTCGGTGAGAGACCCCAACGGCGGCGGCGGCAGAGGATCGGCGTCAACCGCCTTGCCCTTGGCGGAGGCAGAAGCCACCGCAGAACCTCCTCGGTGCGGCGTGAACGGCGCGGAGGCGGGCCACGCCTTTCCCTGCGGCGTAAACATCGATGCAATGAAACGTTAACCGAGAAAGTTGTGCGGAGAGTAAAATCCGGTGAGGGTTTCGCCGGAAAAGAACAAAAGAGAGGGATTGTGTTTTGTGAAAGGGTTTAAAGGTTTTGAGGAAGAGAAACTCTATGGATTACAATGCTCTCAATGATAATAATTGGGGAAAATTAAAAGCCAATTTTTATGGATAATCTTTAACGTATATAAATATATTTTTTTTTTCATGTGTAACATATACATAAATATGACACTGAATCAAATAATTGTATATTGTAAAGATTTTATTCGGTAAAAATATAACTTTTTTTTCTTTCTATTATTTATTAACGTTAATTTAGTCTTATTTTAATTAATTAAATTAATTTAGTTATATATCTTTAAAATGTATTTATGATTAATTTTTCGTTTCTTTCATTTAAATACTTAATAAATTTAATATGTGTCATGTCACATGTCATGTTGTCATGTTATGATGTCTAGCTATATCGCATAAAAGCATGACATAATATGTGTGATATTAATTAAGTATTTAAACGAAAAATTAAACATTAAGATACATTTTAAGATATGGGACTAAATTGATTTAATTAATTAAAATGTGACTAAATTAAATTTAATAAATAATATAAAAAAAGTGAAAAATATATTTTTGTCATTTTATTTTATCTTATTAATTTAATCTTTACATATATTTTACTAGATCAGTGACAACTGACAAGTGATTTTACGGATTATTTCATTTTTTAATTCATTAAATTTTTAATATATAATTGTATTAAAATTATAATTTTAAATATATTATATGAGAAAAAATCATATAATATAATATATTAATCAGAAGTAATATGTTAAAACTATATATTCCACTAAATCTCGCAGTATACTTAATAGAATAAAAGAATTTTTATCTAGCATTAAAGTATAAATAGGTGGGTATTTTCATTTTTCAACTAATTATGTACATCTCCCTGTCTTAAATTCATTGAAAATTTTATTATTAAGAAAATGTTAACTTGATAATTAATTTACTTTTAATTAGTATTTTAATATATATAATGTACATG